GTCTGTGTCCATTGGTTAGGCTTATATGCATGTATACAAGTCCTTTGGTTGTTCTCTCTTTAGCTAACTTTAAATGAGCTTTTACTCACCAGGTTCACAGTGGAATGGAGCTGAGAAATGGTCTCCTGGCTTTTTTGCTTAGCTTCTTTCACCCGGCCGAGAGCCTGCTGGTAGGCACGTGAGCGGAGCTTGGTCGACAGCGATCCCAGCCTAATATAATAACTTGGCTTCTGAACAGTCTCAAATCCTTCCACCTTTTTTGCTTCTTTTTCTGAAGTTAGAAAGAAGGGACAAAAAAGAAAACATAAGGGATCACAGCTCTAAGTGACAAGGCCTGGACTCTAACCTGGATCTTGATTTTGGTGCTTCTACCCACCCACCAGCAATTATGCACTCATTTTCCCAAGACAATTCATGTCTACTGCTGGGCTTGACTACCCAGAACATATCACTGCATCTGAAGGTTCATCTACAGATGTCTCTTCCCATTGGAGTGAGCTTCTTGGGCAACATAGTACCTGGCATACAGTAGCTACTAAATGTTTAATGATTCTGTAAAGCAGCCCATTAAAGACTATCCATTTGTAGAAAATATTTCTCTAGGCTAATATCTCTTAAAATTTCAAAACTTACTATGTACAATTCAATGTGAAACTTAATATTGTCTTAAGAAAGAATGTCTATAAAGACCAAAAGAGTAATGGTTGTCTGAGGGAGATAATGGAGATTCAGGCATGCGGATCTTTTAGGATGATAGAAATGTTCTAAAACTAAACTGAGGTGATGGTTGTGTAACTGTAAATTTAGTATGAAAAAGGTGAATTTTTTGGTGTATAAAGTATATCTCAATGAAGCTGATGTAAGATATGCAACATTATTTCAAGACAAAAAAAAACACTTACCTAGTTCTTCCTCAGTGAGAGGGAGGTACTGGTCTACCAGCAGCTCTGATGTGCTGAGCGCATTTTCCACTCCACTGCTCACCAGCTGCATCATCCGACTGCCCATGACTGTGTTAATGCTGTCATTGACCACAGACTTGGTCTTCTCCACACTGCCTGTCACGGCTTCTTTGGTCTTGTCCACCACCCCAGTGATCGTGCTGGTCACGGAATCCTTGGCTCCAGTCACAGTCGTCGTCACAGCATCTTTCGCCCCAGTCACCGCACCTTTGGCATTGGCAACAACCTACAAGCAGAAAAGGAGAGCGCTTGGCTGGTGAGAAACAAGGGCATGAATAGATATTTAAGGTCTTAACTAAGGCAGCATAGTTGAAGAGTAGGGGACCAGCCAATGTGGCTCAGTGGTTGAATGTTGATCTATGAACCAGGAGTTCGTGGTTTGATTCCCAGTCAGGGAACATGCCCTTGTTGCAGGCTCAATTCCCGGTAGGGGGTATGCAGGAGGTATCCGATCAATGATTCTCTTTCATCATTGATGTTTTTATCTCTCCCTCCCTCTCCCAAATATATAT